AAGATTCATGTGTTTTCTACTTCCCAGAAGTCTTCGACAGAATGCCCATAATTTCCGCAAAGCTGAGTGTGCGTGTGACAGGTGCTGACAAGGCTGGAAAAGTAGGTGCCTCTTCGATTTCTGAGATCGGCCCTCGTGGTCTCTGAGGAGCCCAGCTTTTGAGAAAGCGAGCGCCTCTTCGATTTCTGAGATCGGCCTTCGTGGTCTTTGAGCAGCCCAATTTTTGAGAAAGCAAACGCCTCTTCGATTTCTGAGATCAACCCTCGTGGTCTCTAAGCAGCCCAGCTTTTGAGAAAGCAAACGCCTCTTCGATTTCTGAGCAGGCGCCTCTTCGATTTCTGAAGCTCCGTCGAGTGCAGATTTTTATAGGGGCTGGCATTAAGTTCCAAAGCACACTTGAATCTCCACCAGTAGAAGCTCCATTCTTGCACTTCTAAGATCTTGATTTGTCCGACCTCTTCTCTCTTCAACACCTTTGAAAATGTCTGGCCCCTCCGACCGTCGTTTTGACTTGAACCTTGTTGAAGAGGCAGCCCCGCCTTCTCCAGACAACATATGGCGCCCATCCTTCGTCTCCCCTACTGGTCCTCTTACCGTTGGGGATTCCGTGATGAAGAATGATATGACCGCTGCGGTGGTGGCCAGGAACCTTCTCACTCCCAAAGATAACAGACTACTTTCCAAACGGTCTGATGAGTTAGTTGTTAAGGATTCGCTGGCTCTCAGTGTTCAGTGTGCAGGTTCTGTGTCTAATATGGCCCAACGCCTATTTGCTCGAACCCGCCAAGTTGAATCATTGGCGGCTGAAGTGATGAGTCTCAAACAGGAGATTAGAGGGCTCAAGCATGAGAATAAACAGTTGCACCGGCTCGCACATGACTATGCTACAAACATGAAGAGGAAGCTTGACCAGATGAAGGAAACTGATGGTCAGGTTTTACTTGATCATCAGAGATTTGTGGGTTTGTTCCAAAGGCATTTATTGCCTTCGTCTTCTGGGGCTGTACCGCGTAATGAAGCTCCAAATGATCAACCTCTGATGCCTCCTCCTTCTAGGGTTCTGTCCAGTACTGAGGCTCCGAATGATCCCCCTCCGGTGCCTTCTCTTTCTGGGGCTCTACCGACTGCTGAGACTTCTCCTAAGCAACCCTTTGTGAAGGCTCCCTCTTGTTTGTTTTATTTTGACTCATGTATATGTACATATTTGTAGCTTATCGGGGATATCAATAAATAAGCTTTCCTTCATTTCAACGTATTGTGTTAAATACACCAAAACCTTCTTCGCTAAGTTCTTTGAATTTTCTTTTGTTGAAGCTTGTATGTTGAAGCTTTCTGAGTGGAGCATGTAGGTTGGGGTAGTGTTCCCTTAATTTCCCGAGTGAGGAAAACTTCTCGATTGGAGACTTGGAAAATCCAAGTCACTGAGTGGGATCGGCTATATGAATCTTAGAACGCCATTGTGCTCGGTCCTGTGTCATGTCCTTCGTTAGATCCAAGTACTCTAAGTCTTTTCTTAGAGTCTCTTCCAAAGTTTTCCTAGGTCTTCCTCTACCCCTTCGGCCCTGAACCTCTGTCCCATAGTCGCATCTTCTAATCGGAGCGTCAGTAGGCCTTCGTTTGCACATGTCCAAACCACCGTAACCGATTTTCTCTCATCTTTCCTTCAATTTCGGCTACTCCTACTTTACCCCGGATATCCTCATTCTTAATCTTATCCTTTCTCGTGTGCCCACACATCCAACGAAGCATCCTCATCTCCGCTACACCCATTTTGTGTACGTGTTGATGCTTCACCGCCCAACATTCTGTGCCATACAGCATCGCCGGCCTTATTGCCGTCCTATAAAATTTTCCCTTGAGCTTCAGTGGCATACGGCGGTCACACAACACGCCGGATGCACTCTTCCACTTCATCCATCCAGCTTGTATTCTATGGTTGAGATCTCCATCTAATTCTCCGTTCTTTTGCAAGATAGATCCTAGGTAACGAAAACGATCGCTCTTTGGTATTTCTTGATCTCCGATCCTCACCCCTAACTCGTTTTGGCCTCCATTTGCACTGAACTTGCACTCCATATATTCTGTCTTTGATCGGCTTAGGCGAAGACCTTTAGATTCCAACACTTCTCTCCAAAGGTTAAGCTTTGCATTTACCCCTTCCTGAGTTTCATCTATCAACACTATATATCGTCTGCGAAAAGCATACACCAAGGAATATCATCTTGAATATGTCCTGTTAACTCATCCATTACCAACGCAAAAAGGTAAGGACTTAAGGATGAGCCTTGATGTAATCCTACAGTTATGGGAAAGCTTTCGGTTTGTCCTTCATGAGTTCTTACGGCAGTCTTTGCTCCTTCATACATATCCTTTATAGCTTGGATATATGCTACTCGTACTCCTTTCTTCTCTAAAATCCTCCAAAGAATGTCTCTTGGGACCCTATCATACGCTTTTTTCCAAATCTATAAAGACCATGTGTAAATCCTTTTTCCCATCTCTATATCTTTCCATCAATCTTCGTAAGAGATAGATTGCCTCCATGGTTGAGCGCCCTGGCATGAACCCGAATTGGTTGTCCGAAACCCGTGTCTCTTGCCTCAATCTATGCTCAATGACTCTCTCCCAGAGCTTCATTGTATGACTCATTAGCTTAATACCCCTATAGTTCATGCAATTTTGTACGTCACCCTTATTCTTGTAGATAGGCACCAAAGTGCTCGTTCGCCACTCATTTGGCATCTTCTTCGTTTTCAAAATCCTATTGAAAAGGTCAGTGAGCCATGTTATACCTGTCTCTCCCAAAACTTTCCACACTTCGATTGGTATATCGTCTGGGCCTACTGCTTTTCTATGCTTCATCTTCTTCAAAGCTACAACCACTTCTTCCTTCCGGATTCTACGATAAAAAGAGTAGTTTCTACACTCTTCTGAGTTACTCAACTCCCCTAAAGAAGCACTCCTTTCATGTCCTTCATTGAAAAGATTATGAAAATAACCTTTCCATCTGTCTTTAACCGCGTTCTCTCTGTAGCAAGAACCTTTCCATCCTCATCCTTGATGCACCTCACTTGGTTTAGGTCCTTTGTCTTCTTTTCCCTTGCTCTAGCTAATTTATAGATATCCAACTCTCCTTCTTTGGTATCTAGTCGCTTATACATATCGTCATAAGCCGCTAACTTAGCTTCTCTCACAGCTTTCTTCGCTTCTTGCTTCGCTTTTCTATACCTTTCACCATTTTCATCGGTCCTATCCTTGTGTATAAGGCTTTACAACATTCCTTCTTAGCCTTCACCTTTGTTTGTACCTCCTCATTCCACCACCAAGATTCCTTTTGGTGTGGGGCAAAACCTTTGGACTCTCCTAATACCTCTTTTGCTACTTTTCGAATACAACTAGCCATGGAATCCCACATTTGGCTAGCTTCCCTCCTCTCTATCCCACACACACTGGGTGATTACTTTCTCTTTGAAAATGACTTGTTTTTCTTCTTTTAGATTCCACCATCTAGTCCTTGGGCACTTCCAAGTTTTGTTCTTTTGTCTCACTCTTTTGATATGTACATCCATCACCAACAAGCGATGTTGATTAGCCACGCTCTCTCCTGGTATAACTTTCAAATCCTTACAAGTTATACGATCTCCTTTCCTCATTAGGAGAAAATCTATTTGTGTTTTTGACGACCCACTCTTGTAGGTGATCACATGTTTCTTCTCTCTTCTTAAAGAAGGTGTTGGCTAAGAAGAGATCATATGCCATTGCAAAATCCAAGATAGCTTCCCCATCCTCGTTTCTCTCCCCAAAACCATGGCCACCATGGAAACCTCCATAGTTGCCTGTCTCCCTGCCCACGTGTCCATTTAAATCTCCTCCTATAAATAACTTCTCCGTCTGAGCAATTCCTTGCACCAAGTCTCCAAGGTCTTCCCAAAATTTCTCCTTCGAACTCTTATCCAACCCTACTTGAGGTGCGTACGCACTAATCACATTGATAAGTTCTTGTCCTATTACAATCTTGATTGCCATGATTCTATCTCCTACCCTCTTGACATCTACAACATCTTGTGTCAAGGTCTTGTCCACGATGATGCCAACACCGTTTCTCGTTCTATTTGTGCCCGAATACCAAAGTTTAAACCCTGAGTTTTCTAGATCCTTTGCCTTACTACCAACCCACTTAGTTTCTTGTAGGCACATAATATTTATCCTTCTCCTCACCATAACTTCTACTACTTCCATAGATTTTCCCGTTAAGGTTCCTATATTCCACGTTCCTAAACGCATTTTGCTCTCTTGAACTCTACCCTTCTGTCCTAGCTTCTTCACCCTCCCCCGTCTAATAGGATCAAAGTACTTCTTTTTGTGTGTCCCGTGTAAAGTTGATAGGAGCATATGCTCCCAAACAACTTTGAGTGGAGTCGTTCGAAAAGAAGTTTCTATGGCCCCCTTGCTCATTTAACACTGCATCCGGGTGCCGATGGAGATACAGCGACCCTTGCTCATTTATCACTGTGCTCGGGCCACACAGCGCGCCACTTACGGGTGACGCCCTAGCTTTAGCGCGATTTTTGTTCTGGATTCATTTTCATAAGGATTCGACGTGATCATGGAGTGCCGGTTGTCGACTACCTGACGCCCTCCCCCTCCTCCTTTATCCGGGCTTGGGACCGGCAATGTAAGATACATAGGCGGAGTTCCACACAGCGCGCCACTTACGGGTAGAGGTAGGGCCTACCAACACAGCGCGCCACTTACGAGTAGCATAGGCGGAGTTCCACACAGCGCGCCACTTACGGGTAGAGGTATGCGCTACATTTATCATCTATTTGTACCATCTCTCTAGTAGAGGTAGGGCCTACCAACACATGTGAGTCCATCTCTATTAGAAAAATTGTATAAATAGATGGTAAGAATAACATTTTTGAATTTCCATGAGAATAATTTCGTCTTTTTTCTTTTTCTAATGGCAATTGTATTTGTATTTGGCACTTGCCTTGCAGATCAAGTAACTAGACTATCTTGGCCACGTCAAATGGGAGAAGAGATTAAAGGGAGTCTCTTGGTAAAAGAGACTGGTGTTGGAGAAGAAGAGGCTAGAATTATTGATGGCGATGAAGAATTGTCACTGAAAAGAAGAGTATGGATTGAAACCAAGAAGATGTGGGTGGTGGCTGGCCCTGCTATATTCACCAGAGTTGCGAGTTTCGGAACAAATGTTATCAGTCAAGCGTTTATCGGTCACATTGGTTCTGCGCAGCTAGCGGCTTTTTCACTCGTGTTCACCGTACTTGTCAGGTTCGCAAATGGCATCTTGGTATGTTTATTTTGGCGCCTTTTACTATTTCTGTTATTTGATCTTGTTTTGCACATGTTCTTGCGTACAATTGCAATCCTCATACTACTCTCAATTTCTTTTCGCAGTTTTTGAACTTCACGGTGAATTAGTTTGAAAGAAGTTGCATTTAAAGCAGATAAAGCTTTGTTTAGTGCTAAAATCTTCAGTTTATAAGCAGTTAAAGTTTTAGTGTTTTGTGTTTGTATCAAATACTAGTTCTTCGAAGATCAGCCATTGCTTATTCGTCAAGTTTGCTTTACTTTACGACTTGTCATGTGATCTATGTATCCCAACTTGTAACCGAAAAATGTATTACCCCCAACCACATTCTGGTTTATCATTTGTTTTCCGAATTGTAGATGCAATGTGAGATAAGCATTATCTTCTAGTGGCTACCATACCAATTAGTTCATAAAGTTATCTGCTCAACGAAAACTTAACCATAACATCTAGGCTTATCCGTGTGATCTGACTGATTGATGTTTCTGAATCTATTACTCTACAGCTTGGCATGGCAAGTGCGCTGGAAACTCTCTGTGGTCAATCGTATGGTGCAAAACAGTACAACATGCTTGGGATACATCTTCAGAGGTCATGGATAGTACTGTTTGTAAGCACATGCTTGCTTATTCCTCTTTTCGTCTTTACAACCCCGATTTTTGAGGCTTTAGGCCAAGCAGAAAACATTTCAGAAATTGCAGGACATATTTCTCTATGGGTAATCCCTGTGCTTTTTGCATTTGTGGTCTCATTTACTTGCCAAATGTACTTACAAGCGCAAAGCAAAAATATGATCATTGCATATGTGTCAGCGATTTCAATTGGAATCCACATCTTTCTTTGCTGGCTTTTGAGTGTGAAATTGAAGTTTGGGGTTCCCGGTGTAATGGTGTCAACGCTTATAGCATATTGGTTACCCAACCTGGGTCAGCTTTTGTTTGTTCTATGTGGAGGATGCCCCGAAACATGGACAGGCTTCTCTATGTTAGCTTTTACTGATCTCTGGGATGTCCTCAAGCTTTCTCTGTCATCTGGCGTTATGCTTTGGTAAGAATTTCTATTTGTTTCAGCTTTTATTTTGTACCTTATTCCTTAGGTTTCTTTAATTACGCGCGTATAAATTGTTATAATTTTACTGATTTTGGTCATTGAGAATATCTGCATAGAGGCATTATGAACTAGAGCTTTCACATAGACACAAATCACATATAGGTGCTTCTAACGGATTTTTCATTTACAGTCTCGAGCTTTGGTACAACACAATCTTGGTCCTTTTAACGGGAAACATGGAAAATGCTGAAGTTTCTATCGATGCCCTATCTATTTGGTATGTTTTAGAGCCTTCCTCTTCCTTGTGATCCTAATCTCTGATCATCCAACTGTTTCCAATGCTAAATGTTTCCGGCATAACGGCAGCCTTAACATCGTCGGGTGGGAAATGATGATATCTCTCGGTTTCCTCGCTGCAGCAAGGTACTATTATTTTTCTTGTTCTTCAGAAAATTGTTCTCTGCAACCACGATAATAATCATTTAAGATCTTCACCGTAGCAATGCCTCACTTTTGAATCTACGCCTTGTTTCTTCGACATATTCTTAGAACTTCATATGTTTGCATGTAATGTAATGTTGTACTGAAGCGTGCTTGAAATCCTTCACTAGTGTACGGGTGTCGAATGAGCTTGGAAGGGGTAGCTCAAAGGCGGCAAAGTTCTCGATTGTAGTTATTGTGTCGATCTCAGTAGGCATTGGATTGGTGCTTTTCGTGCTTTTCTTGTTCTTGAGGGAACAACTTGCATACATTTTCACCGACGATGAGGCTGTAGCTAAAATGGTGGCTGAGTTGTCTCCTTTGTTGGCCTTCTCCATACTGTTGAACAGCGTTCAACCCGTGCTCTCTGGTAACATCGCCATTTCCCTGAAATACGCAAGCATAGCTAAATAGATACCTCAAAGAAAGCAGTTCCCCTTTGTGTCTTCAAGTACCGGTTGAGGTAACCATTACCAGCATTTGACGGCACGAAGGGAAAACATGAAAGAAATCACGACTGGTTAAATAAGTACATTGCAGTTATCAAGAACATTTCTTGCTTCCAAAGGAACGTATTATAAATCTTGAAGAGTTTCTAACGTAGCGAATCTTTCACCTACAGGAGTTGCTCTGGGAGCTGGATGGCAGAAATATGTAGCATATGTGAACCTAGCCTGCTATTACATCGTAGGGATTCCTGTTGGAGTTGTGCTTGGTTATCCTCTAAAAATGCAAGTCGAAGTAAGCTACTCTGTCTATCTTCTTCTCACTTAATCTAATTTTTGTTAGGGTCCGTTTGAGGGGTCCTCGATACCGGATTTTGAGACTAGAGTCCGATGCATGTTTGTGACGTTGAAATGATTGACTAGAAAGGAGATCAAAACTGAAATTGGTTACCAAATTTCGTTTTCAGTTTTCATAAAAAGTGAATGAAAACTGAAAACGAAATGGTTATCAAACGGCCTACTAAATTACTTCAGTAGTCGTCGTGTTTACTCCTCGATTTGCTTTTTGGATTAACTTATTTTATGAATCCTCTTCTGCAGGGTGTTTGGATTGGAATGTTGTTTGGAACATTGGTCCAAACTATTGTGCTAATCATACTCACCTACAAGACTGATTGGGATAAACAGGTAGAATGAATATTTGATTGTTTTCTTTGCATCCTTCACTAAAATTAACATGACATACTGAAGAACCTTTCTTCACACCCAAGAAACTAAAACTTCTATCAACATCGACAGGTAGAAATAGCTCGCAACCGTGTTAACAGGTGGGATCGAACAAATAACAGAGAATCGAACATCGACACGTGAAATGTCTGATTTTTATCGTTCTTCAGTTGTTATGTTCCTGCCACGAGAAAAGACGTGCAGAAGAGGTATAGCCAACACGCGGAGGATGTTTTGGAGAGTTCACATTACTTTGCATTGTCCTATCAATTTTCTTCAATTCAACAACCGTCATTTATGAAATTTGAAATTTGAAATGCGTATCGTTTATGAAATTTGAAGTGCGTTACCGTGTTCTGAGTAGTCTAGGTTGGAAGTAAATGAAATGGCTATTGCCATTTGTTTTTTCTTTTTTTATCAAACTTTCATTAAAAAGAAAACAAGTGAAACTTCGACAGAAGCAAAGGGGGGTAATCGTCCCTGATAGCTCGAAGCTCCTCCATATCCAAAAGTGGATAACAAAAGCAGGAGGGGAAGAGAAAATCGCCCGACCCCCGATCTAGTTGCGTGGAGGACAGGGTAGACCATCACGGGATAAGGAAAGTACTTTGCATTGGTAACCTTACTGGAATTTCCAGATAGAATTTCATCTATGATATTACAGATGGTGAGAACACTAAAGTAAAGAATTGCTTTACAACAGAGAAAGGATCATCTTCTCAACAGATTGTATGCTGGTAAATCTTTTACACTGGAGACATCTTCGAGTGCAAGCTCGCGTTCTAACTGACTTGTCGTAGACTTCATGACATCCTGGAAAAAATTAAAACAGAATCAGAATCAGAAGAATGCAGCGCTTTGTATCTTAAATTTGCAGGCGGAGCAACAAAAGCATTTACATTGAAGTCCATATAAGAAGCACGCTTTACGAGCCATTGAGCATCCATCATCTGGAAGGCTACACAATAAAGGTTGTCAAATGCCATCTCATCTTCTTTAAGCAGTTCCAGAAAACGGATTCCAGCCAAAGTTGTTGGCTTTGCTGCAAGAAAAATATATCTGATTATTTCTTTATAAACACAGCATCAGCATTCAGAATTTGGTGGAGGAATAAAAGAACTCTTCAGATAAACATGCTAAGATGATGCTTTCTCATCGAATAGTTATCTGACACTACAGGATCGTCCATCCTCTCACTTAAAAATTTATCGGTACCTGATTGAAGATCCAACATTTGTGCCAAGACAAAAGAAATATTGATGCCAGCAACAGCAAAGGGATATTCCCACTCAGCTCTAGTTCCATCTTGCTTGTGCAACAATCTCTGGAATGATTCCTGTAAGAGGATCAAATCAGAAATTCATTAACCCTTTCATGACTTCTGCAGAAACACGGAACAAAATGAATACTTAATTACAATACAAAATCTTGCACGCTATTTCCAAAAGAAAGCAATATTTTGACACCCATACGCATTGAAGCATTGAAAGGAACTCTTTGTATGCAGATGCACATACATCAAAGCCTAACAAAATTAACGCCAGCGCTTCTTGTCATGTTATGTATGCAATAAGCTAGAAGGTTTGAATATCAATAGAACTGTAAGACAGATGCTTGGAAACACAGAAGATAAAACAGCCATAATAAGAAAGAGTCAATTTGATGGAAGTTGTATTCTAGTTAGAACGAAAAGAAAAATCAGCATCTCCTTCCAGCACTTAACCCAAGAGAAAACAGTCCCAGCATCCAAAACCAAAAGCATTTCTCCCATGTAATACAATGAACTCAAACCCTTCTTTTCTTAGATGTGAAGGTAATAATGGGGACTACTAATTCACCAAATCATAAAAAAGAGCGAGACTTCGAGTTTACCACAGCGATGGCATCCAAAACAGAGCCTTGATACCACCGCTAAAAAAGTAGGATGCTGAAAATCTACCCCTGCCACAATATTCATTGACATTTCTATAACTCTGAGCACTGAATCTACTGATATCTCAGACAAGGCCGATATTTCATCCTTCCCACAGAGACTACTCTAAAATTGAAAGCAACTGAGGAAAATTTCCAACTTCAGAATCATTAATATCTGTGAAACCCAAAATTTCAAATGCTGAGATGATTCTCCACTCAGCCTTGGAATGAAAAGTTTAGTTATGTAGCAATCAGTGTTCATTTGAAAGTCATAAGACCAATCTTGGACTAGAAAAATAAAATCACGTTAATTATCAGAACAGTAAAAGGGCCAAAGAATTTCAAGCTGAATGAGTTAAAGGTTTTTCTTTGTCAAATTAATGAATTAAAGGTTACAAAAGAAAACACTAGGATAAATCTTGAAGTAACAGGAAAATATACAATTGAAAAAAAAAAAAAAGTTAGAAGGAGACAAACCGGATACTGTCGGGCAAAAAAGATAAGATTCTCCAATGATATAAATCCCCCACCTCTACAATTAAGGTTGGAAATTTATCGTTATCATTTTTTTTTCACAAAGAGCATATGACAAAACAAAAATATATGCGACTCACTTCACGATACTTTTATCTTGTTTAAACTACGCACCTAAAATCTGTTGAAGGGTCTGAACCTTGCCAGCCCATCTGTTCCCAAAGGTCTGATTGAAGAGGTGGGAGCTCCGTATCCGGATAAGCCAACCTCCATAACTCTAAGAGCGCGTCCTGCAATCAACAAGCTCAATTTGTGTTTAATATTGAAATAAAAAAAAAATTAAATTAATTACTTCAATGTCCAGTAATAGTACAGACAACCCTTGTATTTTTAAAAACTATTGATTACAATATATGTATATATATATATATATGTATGTATGTATATGTACACACTCACTCACACATATATATAAAAGGTATTCTTCTTTAATTACAAAAACAATGTTCAATATTTTCCCAATTTCTTCATGGAGACTGAATCCAGAATTTGTATGAGAAGAATACCAGGGGTGCACATCTTGGACTAAAGTTAAACAAACAATCTAACTGCAAATACTTAAATTTCTCTGAACAGAGAGCATAAGTTTCGACATTTTAGGCATGAAAGGCCAGCCAAAATAATCAAAGAAAATAATGATAATAACAAACCAGAGTATACAGTAGTACTTGTAACACCAACAGAAAAATGATCAAATTGCTGTCAAATGGGAAAAAGACCTACTTGATGCTCCATGCGAGAACCATCAAAGGGTACTTGAAGCCTTTGTCGTAGATATCTGAGTCTTGCTTCCTAGAGGACACAAATACCCATGCAAGTGAACACCATATTAAAAAAAAGTTATATTATGTAATCTATACAGGTCAATGATGAATAAACAGTATAATAGTTGTCATCCCATTGTTCCAAACATCAATATAGAAGACAAGTTCTCCTAACAACTAAAAATCAAATTGAGGGTCAAGAGCAATGAAGAGATCTACTATAAGGAATTACACCATCCTCAAAGCCCAAAGCCAAAAGAAAAATGAGAAACTACCAGCTTCCAATAACAGATCGAATTTTCATCACATATCAACCCAAAAGTGATGAAGTATTCAATAGTTCATTTTGATCCCCAACAGTTAGCAAGCCAAAATCATCTAAGTTTCAAATTCATATATGTAAGATCCCACATCACCCGGGGGGAGGGGAGGTGATGTGCCTTATATGTACATGCCCACCTCCCTATAGTAGACGCGTTTTGGGTGGAAACCCAAGAACAAATCCGTGAGAGCGTGGTCCAAAGCGGACAATATCTTACTATGCAGACTGGGATGTGACAATTTGGTATCAGAGCCACTCCCTAGCCGGAAGTGTGCCGACAAGGGCATCGGGCCCCTAAGGGGGGTGGATTGTAAGATCCCACATCGCCCGGGGGAGGGGAGGTGATGTGCCTTATATGTACACGCCCACCTCCCTATAGTAAGACGCATTTTGGGCGGAAACCCAAGAATAAATCCGTGAGGGCGTGGCCCAAAGCGGACAATATCTTACTATGCGGACTGGGATGTGACAATATATTTAAATTTTAAACCAGCCCACACTCCTGAAAATGTAAGAAGATAGAGAGCTTATAAATGAGCCCACACCCCTTGGGTATACCCCAAGAGCAAAAAAATACATCATAAAGATAAAGACATTTCATTCTCAGAAGGATATATAGATCAGATCACATACTTGCAAAGGACTAAGGGGAGGAGCAAACAACTTAGCGCTTTCTCCATTTTGTGTACTTGAAAAGAAGGTCAAAAGTCGTCCAATAAGCGATCCAGATCCAAGAACAATACTTGCTACAAAGAGAAAACCATAAAGAATTAAGTTCCAAAACTAAATGTATATTCCCACTGTCTAAACTACAAAGCAAAATTCACATGGTATAAACAGTAAAATGATCAGGATCCAAAATATGTGGAATGAGCTATGTCTTATTAATTTTAACTATATAACTCCTCAAAAGAATGTTGAATGATCCTCAGGGTACTTTTAACTCGTCCAATGAATAAATTGCCACTCTTTAGGATATTTCACTTAATTATAGGTTGCTTATCAAGTGGTTAACATTCTAAGAATGATTCCATAGTAAGGTCAAGAATGGCAGAAACTTCAAAGTTGCTGTTTATTTGGTTACATCATGTTCTAAAAATTTAGCTGTATAATGCCCCATCCCTTATGAGCAAAGTTGAGGAAAGATTTTCCAGTAAAACGGTAAGGTCTTATTGACAACAAAAATAATGAATACCTAACCACCGTGCCCACTGTGCAATCAACTGAGAAAACAGAAGGGTCCAATGGAGGTGTTCCTTTCTCCGCTCATCATCCCAGATCTCTTCAAGTGTCGTTTCCTATGGCGCATCTCAGAAAGATATCAATCACAATAAGGCCAAAAATAACTATTACCGGAAAGAAAAAAAAAAATCCCACCCTCCATGTAAATGAACAAATAAAAGCCTCACCTCTGCATGCCTATCTGAATAATTCCCCAATAGAGGCACATTAAGATCATCTGACTCCGACGTCTCCAAATGTTCTACCTTTTTCCCATCAACATCCGCATGACGAAGCCTTTTCCTCAAAGTTCGTGATGTCATGGCGCTTCCTATATAATCAGACTGCATTTCCAAACAAATCATTTCATCAATCGCGTTGTTACAAGCCAACCGCCGAATCTTTCACACAATGGCAAACAACCCAATACCAGATTCTCTCCAAGTTTCCATTAAAGCAACAACTTTCCATCAAATCGAAGACCAAGCACATTACTTAACATTCAACCATTAAACAAGTGCAATTTCACACTAATCCACTACTGCATACAGTCCCAAAGCTACTGAGTTACACCCACAAACTTCAAATTCATAAACCCTAACAATGACAAAACTCGGATTCAGTTCGGAATATCAAATGGGTTTGTACCATCTTCCAATTCAAAGCCAAAAACCAAGTTTACAATAGCAAAAACGAAGAAATATCAACAAATCAAAAATTGAAGAAGGAGAAGACAGAGATATGTTGGCTCCTCACCTTACGTTACCAATGGCTTCCGCAGACGATCCCAACAAAACTGAATAGCCTTTCGCTCTTCTGTGATTTCTGTGCTGAATATCAAAACGAATAGCTTGCTCTTCTGTATGTGACTATTCTTTAGCCAGAACTCTGAAAAAATCAAAAATTGTATATCTATCGATTCTGTGTATGCATGTGTATGTGTTTATTCAGAGTATTTGTATTGGTGAAGACGACTTTCTGAATCCGGTGTTCGACGCCAATTCAATGCGAGCACCGCCGACGTGACGTGCCTGTAACGTTTTAAAGCTTGTACCTTTTTAACCTTGCCCCCAAAATAGCTAATTTAGCTTCGTTTCGAATTATAGGCATGCAAAAAATTATTTTTAAATAAATAATATTACGTCATATTTATATATTATCTATAATTGAATGAATTAAACATAATCGCTTCAATAATTTATTAGCAAGTTTATACTTTAAATTTATTGGTTAATTTAATTAAATTACCTTGGATGTTCAAATCTAGCCGTTGAATTTGAATCAATTATTGCAACTGAGTATTTGGGCCTCAAAAAATGGGATAAGATGGGACTACGTTTGGCCAGTCTGATGCACCTTTAGCCAAATAATGGCTTGACAGTCTCTATAATATTATAGCTCAATTATCGGTTGGAGATTAGTATTTGGACAAATCAGGTTATTTTTTAGCTTTTGAACCTTTAACCCTCTCCATTGAAGATAGCCTAATGATCTACAGTCACACATGTGTTATAGACCTGTTATTTATTTTTCGTTAAAGCTAGGTGAAAGTTATGGGAAAGTTATAGACCAATTTTAAATTTTATCCTTGTTTACATTCCCATGCACTATGATAATTTTTCGCTATACACGAAGTAGAATTAGTGTTATTATTTTACTCATATTATAACATACGTGTATCTAGAAGTGGGGCGTATAACTATTTCTCCTACATATACTATAGCACATGGATTAGTACACCATGTGGTTAAGTGTTCTCAGCACATATAATATTTCTCAAATAGGGCAAAAACTCATTTTCTTCCCATGTTACTCCGTTCTTTTAAGTTGTTCAAGAAAATCGTTAGGTCGACTGATGTAGAACCAAAAAATTTCTCGGAACTTCACATTTCCTTCATTTGGTTTTAGTTACACAACAATCAAGTTCACTGACTTCCCCAACAAAATGGGTTACAAGAGAGGAAAAGTAAGTTTATTTATATATTTATAATAGTAAATAACGGCTTGTTTAGAATGTCAATAAAGCGTCGCCTTTTTGTTGTAATTGTAATTTAGAATTTAAAAGAGACAGCTTACTCAACGGCTGCAACTTCCTAACCAAGTATATTTTTCTCTTTAATTTTATTTGTAACATACGCTATACCTTCGGCAATGGTTTGCTTGCTCCAATAAAAAAGTAGATGCTAAAGCTTTCTTATATTGTAATAATAAACAAATCTCCCAACTTTTCTTTGTTTGCTCCTCACGAATTCTCTCATTTTCCAAAATATATTACCGAGAATATAACAAATAAGGTGGTATTTTGTAAAATTGGAAGAAATATATGTGTATCAGAAATGAAAATGTTTCGTTGGATATGTGAGCACACAAGAAAAGATAGGTTTAAGAAAGAGAATATCCGAGGTAAAGTAAGAATGCCCACAATTGAAGATAAGATCAGATAATCAATTAAGATGGTTTGAACACATGAACCAAAGACCTATAAATGCTCCAATTAGAAGGTGTAACTATGAGATGGAGGCTCACGGCAAAGAAGGTAGAAAAAGACCTAGAAAGACTCAAAAAAGAGACTTCAAAAAGAGATATAAAGCACTTGCAGCTCATGGAAGACATGGCACAAAACCGAGCTACGGCTTAACGCATATAATCATATAGTTTGACTATCACTATAATTTATAACTACTATTTAAAGCACAATTCTAACCAACAAAGCATCATCCCACTAGTGAGGCGAGTCGACGAAACGATCTTCCAACAGCTCTGCATCCGAGAATACTCCTCGTCTGAACGTCGACCGGGACACAGCCTCTCGGAGGCAGCTGAAGAGACACTAACAAGGGAAAGCACATCAAACATTTAAAGTACAAATTTAGTAATATGCCCCACACGCTGTTTACAACGCCAGAGAAGTTTGCACAGGTACATTCAAGTTAGGCACTTCATGTCAAATTGAAACATAGCTACCGCGAAATTTACGTTCTACGACACATCAAAGGACTCTGCATAAATTGGCAAGGGGGAGATGGACCTAGGTGTTGGAGGACAGACGCTATTCTCTACTAATTTACATAACAACACGATGCCTCTGAGAAGTTACACCGGCTCCATAGATTTCCAAGACTATATTGTCACCAACAGTTGTGGGTACCTTCGCTGGTTTTGCCCACGATCCAGGATAGGAGATTCTGACTAGGTAAAGTAAACAGAACTTACTGTCGAGGTACTACTGGCTGCGTATTTGACTGATTACTTTGCCCGTAGAACCCCATACCCAGTGGCCGATAATAACCCCCAGCAGCCGGCTGCAACTGCTGCTGCTGCTGAGGCTGCGACTGCTGTTGCGGCTGACTGGGCCTTGACATACTCATTGAGATATGTGGAGGTATAGGGGGTGGAGGCGGCAAGGTATTTGATCCATATCCGTAAGGAATTCCACCCACCATAAGACCAGAAGATTGGACATACTGATTCGCTGGTGTAGTTGCAGTAGGTGGTGATGGTGCCGGAGGTGGTGGCAGCGGACTAAAAGGACTTTGCATCTGGTTACTGTGGGACATAGGCTGCATGGCTGCTGATGACGCAATTGGAACACTGGTCATTGCCTGCTGTTGGAGAGGCGTAAAAAAGGCTGCATTGCCACCATCAGGATTGTTAACATCAGACATTTGTTTCTCAAGCTTGGGCCATTTTTCTGGAGGAAACATTGATAATCCTGATGTAAAACCAGCTGATTTCAGGCTACCAGTCATAGAGGCAGCTTCTTCAGCAACAAGAGATGAAAGAACAGACGTTAACATCTGTGCAGAAGATGTAGATGCAGCAAGCTTAGCAGCCACAGCTGCTGCTGCTGCTTTCTTGTTCTCTTCATCGGTAGTTTTTACAGGGGCAAAAGAAACCATAGGCTGCGTTGGAGGCTGTGGTAGGAGGCCAGTTTGTTGGACTAACGGTAAATTTGGTTCTAACCCCCTGGTAGATTCAGGTGTCATGTTAACAACATTGCTTTCGGGGTTCAGAACCGGGGACAAACTCAGTCTCCTTTTAATATTACTTACTCTCTCAATCTGATGTCGAGCAACCTGCATGGAAACAAAACACACCTGTTAATCGCAAAGAGTAGCCAGTACAAAGGGAATTGCATTATAAGATGTGGTTTGATATGCTCTACTCCGAACCAACTTTATACACAGAAAATTAGTTTGCGTCTCCTAATCTTGAAATGGCCAATTTACAACTCTAAACTAATTTTGAAGTTCAGTGGACTGCAAATTTGGCATGTAAATTATCCAACCCACCTGAAAAAAAAAGAAGAAAAAAAAAAAGTTCTTACATATACATTTTTTCCATCTAGCCAGATGGGACCCACAAACATAGAATAAGCTGCTGGAGTTTGGATAGCCAGCATTCAAGGCAACGTGTCATATACATGCAATTTCGCATTTACTCGCCAACATTTAAGCTCTTCCAAGCCAAGTACTTGATGCATAAAACTAATTCAAAAAATACAAAACTGTGATCTTGGCACGTCACTAATTGTCAACTCCTCTATGATCATCAATCCCTGGGATATATATTTCTTTTTAATCAATTAAATTTAAACAATGTTCAATCAAAGGCAATGAATAATTGGAAAATGGCAGGCAATTGCTAGAAAATATTTGTACTGCCATAATTCAAATAGCATATGGGCACACAGTGTGTGAGAAAATTTTTTTATTTTTGTTTTTGAAATAGAAGGAGAGACGAAGAGAGTGATAGAGAATGTGGGAGTGGGAAGGTTTTTTTTTATTATTATTATTTTTTTTTTTAAATTAGAGATATGTTAGGATTACATATGAGGCTTTGAAAAAAAACAGCAAAATTTGATTGTGTGAAATTACATTTCTACCCTATATTTCTTATTCATGTTTTGTTTTAATTAGAGGGTTAAACTAAACTAGTAATTTCATATGGTTTTGGTTGACAATGAGTGTTTTATTAATTAGTAGAGATAATAATTCAAATAATAAAATAATAATTTGAAATTGTAGTTTAATAAATTAAAAAATGTTTTTTTTTTAAGTTGTTTAAATAAAACTGGATGCATTTTTAACTATCTGCCTGTCCAGTGGAAGAATATAAGTTCCAAGATGAAAATGCAAATTTAACATCCCAAATACATTTTACCACTGGTGCAAAATAGTTTTGCATCTTGGAATATTCTAATGAAGATGACACCGGAGATGTAAAAGGCCTATTTACATCCTCGGTTTTACATCTTTGCACTGGAGTTGCCCTAATCTTTGAAAAAAATAAGTGTTAGTGGAAAGAAACTTAGGGTTTCCTGCTTGTTTGTGAGGCACAACAACCTTGGACTTGGAGTGACTCCAAGGCACCTTTGATGTGAGGCTGAAGGCCGGCGTGATGCCAAAAAATTTCCAGAAATCAGTAAAATTAACTCAATCATCCCTAAACAGTAAACACTAGGGTGTTTACAACCTACACTGATTATTTCTTCACATTATTTAATGTAATTTGTGCAGAATGTCTATATCCATGGGTGGTGGTTTCCAAAAAATAAAAATAAAAATAAAAGATTGAATTTGCTTCTCATAGATATGCAGAAAAAGGAGCCAAGGGAAACTTACCCCCTCCCCTCCCAAACAAAAACAAATACATTTAATAAAAACTCCAGCAAAATAACCTCCCCCAACCCTAGCTAAGTCCCAACTTAGGATAAATTTTTGTGTACCCGGAACACAGCAGTACACAACATGTCATAATATAAGTGAACGACATGGTTGATATGTCCCACTTTTAGGGTATATTTCTCATGTCCATTCACTTATATTATGACACGTGGTGTGCCGCCTTATATTCTAGGTACACTGAAAAATTTCTCCCAACTTCGAGTGGAAAACTCTTTGATCTTTATCATTGCCAAAGCCTGATATAAAGGCCATAAGAAAAAAAAATTCTAAATTATGAGGAACGGTATTGCCAATATTTTATGTACATTTAAAAAACGAGTTTAAAGATCATTTTATTTTCTCAACCTACAAACTCAACGAAATAATATTTCTATTTAAGGTCCTAAAAAATGAACATACAGTTGGACGGGAAAAGATTATTAATCAAAGATCTTAGAAATTTAAACTTTCTAAAGTCTTCAACATTTTAGTTATTTATTTTCTTTTAAAAAGTCATCTGAGAGTAAGCCAAAAAATGATGCATGTTGATGACATTATGACAGATACAAATTCTGTTAAAATTTTCTCCAGAAATTTAAAATCGTTGTACTTTTTAATCAAAATTAAAATTTTCTTTCAATTCGGTATTACTTCTGTTCTGGGAATTTAACATGCTTCTATACAAGTTTGTTTCTCAACTCTTCTCAAGATTATGATAACTAGAACTTGTTTATGCAAAAGGACCAAAGACAATACACAAGCTAAAACAAAGCCGCTTAAAATATTAGTTGCCTCGCTTAGAGACCTAGAACTGATACAGGACAGATTTGAACCAAACTGACTTGGGTTAAGATTAGAATTGACATGGGAAAGAGTTGAAGCAAACAAAAGAAACAAGAGAAAGAGCATATGCATAAAAAAACAAGCTAGTATAACTAACCGCCTACACTCTTGACAGCCATCATAGTTAATTGTGTTGGATATGTGCACATTTAAATGCATATGTTAATTAAGACCTAAAGTTGATACAAATGTATCATATTCCATTCTCTGCTACAATATACATGCATATAGGAGTAACATCAAGATTCAGTTTTCCTACAGTTTAGTTTACTGTCAAGCAAACATTTTCCTGCAAAACACCACCAAATAAATTCTTATTCTAATGACAAACATCATCTAGCCATTTCAATCAATAGATCTCAACATTTGCGGAATGCAGGAATCAAACTCAAGACTTCATTACCAACAGAATCAAGGCGCTGAGTTGATAATACCACAATTTCTATTAGCTATAAAGATTATGAGAAAGTGACGTTGACGACTAGTTGATCTTGATAACATTCAGTGATAAAACCCCTTGTAAATCAAATTATAAAGACTAGATATATGCCCACCATTTCCAAGAGAAAGAAAGACTTCTTAATTTTAAGAGGGGCAAATGAAGTTTAGTTAGCTACTTTTACCTGCAATTGAGTGCGAACAACTTCCAGCTTTGCTTCCTGTAAATATTAGCAAGTAGCCATCAATATCTGAAATCTTAAACAAAGCCGCACTAGTGATAACATAAGTGGAATAGAAAAGAAAAAAAAATTGTACTTGATCCTGAAGTGCTTCTTTAAGTTGCGAAACCAAGGCAGATCTTGTTGCCTCCGAGCTCTCAAGTTGCCCAACAGATTGATTAAGTGCATCTTCTTGCTCTTTCAAATCATCCAACAATGTGGATCCCTGCTGAGTTCCTGATTACACAGTTTATAATGGGAAAATCAATAAAACTATTCTACATGGCACTAATATACATCAGGAGACGTTCAACAAAATTAACACAAAACCAATATTATGTTTACTGAAAGCATCAAAGGGTTCAACCATCTACATTACATTACATGCATGAAAATCTAAACAGTGTAAATATCAGCATACATATCAAATAAAGGGATTTATTTGATCTTAAGGGTCTGGATGGAATATTTATATTTTCAAATCCATCATTTTATTTTCAGAATTCAGCAATTTAACTTTTTCAAATAATACCTTTTAGATATCGCAATCATAAATAATATCATATAGCAACTTAACTGTTTTAGAGTTCCTCAAATAACTTAAATCAGCGAAGGGAAACAAAACATACACAAGGATAGATGTAGATTCAATGCCTAGAAACTTCCTATTCTACTTACACGGTCATTCCTAAATAGTAATACCGAGAAAGGGATACTCATTTTAAATGATACTTGTTTTAGGAATTTTTTTATTTATGAAGTTTGAAACTTGCAATTGTTACTCCTAGAACTACGCTCGAGACGGACATGGTAAAAGACTAAGATGAGATTATATCAGGCCAACCTATAAATAGTTATAGCAGCCAGTGTACTAGCTTGATTAATCAAATAAACCAAATCAATTTCCCCCTAGCAGTCTATCGATCCTGCATAATTTACATCTGAGTAAAAGGACAGAGTCATAGAGCCTTTTGGAAATACAACTCATGAAAAAAAAAAATGAAAATGCAGTAATGCACACAAAATAGCTTGGACAATGAACCAATAGTGTGACCAAAAAAAAAAGAGAGGAGAGCTTGTCATACTGATGTGAGACTTTTTCAATCACTTGGCAGAGATTAATTAAACCTCCTTAAGACTAGGAAACAAGATAAGTTGCTACTTTGAATTTATCTAGTAATTAGCTGAATGGACAAACAGGTCAGAGCAAGAAAGGTATAGGAAAGAGGTGAGCATTAAGAAGGAAGAAGGGAGAAGGTGAAGAGGGGGCAAAGTAAGATCTAAATTCTATACGCAAGTCTATGCACTTATACCGTACAACTCTAAAGTATGTACTGACATCCATTTGAAAAACAGACGAAACAAAAATGGCCAAAAACTGCTGCAAAGTATCCTCAAAGGTTCTGAACTTCTAGCATTCCTCTCCCTCACAAGCACCACATAATACAGCTATACAAAGAGGAAAAGGGTCAAAACATCTTTTTCCTAAACTATCAAAAGAAAACAGAAAGAGAAATATTTCACTCTCAAATTAGCGAAATAAAATGACCATCTTAATAAAACCACATGAGAGTTCATTCAAACTGATCATATTGTCTCCAAACAAGTCCATCCTAACCTTTTTTCTGTTTTGACACAAACAAATATTCCAACTTAAATTGAAAATGTGCAAATCAGAGGACACGATATCCACTGTACAAATAACCTGTATTTTAATTATCCTAGCATGAAATTGTATAAAATATAATTTTTCTGTCAAGTAAGAGGAGTACTCTGATCTACAAAAACAGTATTCCTTGAAATTCTGAAGAAACCAAAGGTCCAATCCCCCATAATATCCCAATAGAGAACTTTATGTCACAAAATCTCCACCCCCTTTCCCCTAAATTTGGCAAAGGTCCTCCAGTTGGAACCCAACTACCCAAAACACAGCCGTCACTCTACCTCTCCCAGAAACTTCTCTCATATGTCCTCAGCCAAAAAACTCGTCCCCTTGACAAAATAAACTAGGACAAGATGTTGGAATTGCCCAACCCAATATTTTCCTTAAACAACCTTAGCCATAATATAAAGCAATTGGGAAACAAAGAATCATGTCATGCACTTTCAGCTTCTTCTCTACACATGATACGATGACAGGAATAAAGGCAAACAGAATCAAAGATGTCATTCCCATTAAGCACTTGAAGCTATTACTAGTACCTTAAGTGGTACCATAGCCTTCAAAACCATAGAAGATGGGTTGAAAGAAGAAATGGGTTGTCAATCAAATCTCCGTGCATACAACTGTTACAAGAAAACCCCCAAAACACATGGCTCTCCTTCAAGAGTACCATCAACCAGAAATCACAAATCCACCAATATTCAAAGGTCATTGAACATTAACATTACAAGATAATTCTCTCCAGGTCTTAATTCTTTTGTAACCACTGCTTGTCCAAGAATAAATGGTTTGCCCTATTGCTACTTGTGGACCAACAACAGCCACCCCTTAATTAAAAATATACTATTTTTTTCTATCTGTTAAGAAACACACAAAATCACACACAATACATTCCACCTAGACCACACCAACTATAAATGCAACCAATCCAGATGGGTTACGCTAAATCCAGCATCCATAAAATGCAACAAAGAGGAAGCAAGAAATTTAATTTGTCCAGCATTAAAGTGAACTCCTCTCTATCTTAAAAAATTCTTCTCTTCCTTTACAACCATGTAGATAGGCTCTCCTATTAGCCAGAGTTTAAAACCTCTCTTAGTGGGCAGAGTTTAAAGGCTCTCCTATTGGCCAGAGTTTAAAGGCTCTCTTATTGGCTCAGAAAGACCTATGTCAACAGTGCATAGCTATTTCTTAGAAAAATCAAGCAACAAGTTACACCAGATTTGTGAACTGCAGGAACAATGTAAAAAGATGTGCTCGGTTGATTCACCAGCTAATATAAACTGGAGACAGCAATGAGATAATCATACACATGATCTTTTTAAAGCATATCACAAGTCCCAAGACACATAAATAGAACAATGCCTTCTAACAGACTAAGCTTAACTCAAAGAGATATTAATACGATGAGACAACAAATTTGAGACATCCACAAACACCCTGTCATTTGGGTTTCTTGGAATGATTTAAGTTCCAAGACAAGGCTACAAAGGATAATATGGATATAAGGAGGATACCACCGGCTTATGATCAAACAATATCTATAAACATCAAGGAATGAAATTGAAGGGATGAATCACCTACCCTAGTATCTTCCAGAATTGGATTCTAGTTCCATTACAAACAAGAAGTTTTGAACTAGGAGAATAGAAATAGCCCTGAGAGACATATTTCCTAGGGCATTGAAGATAACTTCCACTCCCCACCATTCAAATGCAATAAATATGCTTTTGGTAATCAATTGATTTGTAGAATTAGCATTATAAACACACAACAATTAAAGTCAAAATTAACAGAACCTAGTTTTCACCCCATAAGAGTCTTCTGTTTTATCATCTAGTTCTATGACTATCATTGAACAAAGTCACATATAATCAACATTTATGAACTTAACCACATGTCCCAACTCTTACCATGAATCAAGGTGTTTTCAACATCTTCATCAATTTTACCCACATAAAGTACAGCAGCATTACACTTGTGTAAAGCAGCTTCTTCCGTAAGATGTTCATCAAGAACAGGTTGAAATGCAGTAAGTATTTTTTCTGGCAGACCTCCAACAGCCAATTTCTGAGGTTTAGACGAATATTAAGGCATGTACAAGCTCACAATAAATAAGAATACAATTATAGGCATTGAATATAAACCAACATTAAAGACTGCCCAAAGTGCTTACAAGTCTAACTGAGTGTGCATCCCTCTTCACTATCTTGATAGGATTTGAACTCTTTCCATTGCTTGCAGGTGGAGCAGGTGGAGCAGGAGGATTCCTTCCCATCATATCATCTTTAAGACTATGCCCTCGAGACCCAAAAACCTTTCTTTCTTCCCATATGTCAACCTGAACAAACGACATAGCTTACTTACAGAGGAAGTAATGAGACTAGATTGCTAGGCACAAATGATCAAAAGGAAACGTAAATAAGAGTGGACACTAAACGGGTTCACTCTAGTCCAATACATGGAATGGAAGGAGCTTGTCTTCCGGAGAGTAGGAGCAAACTACGAATTTTTTTGGGTTAATAGATGGTGCAAACTCAGTTGGCTAGGTAGTGAAATCCTCTGGAGTATCTAAAAAGGACTTAGGTTCAGTTTCCAATTCGACGAAAATACAAACACTACAGAATCATCAAAGTTTCTCAGGCCCACTACTATAGACTTAAGTCACTTAACATTGTAGTATCAGGTCATGCAATTGCATGCATGTATGCACACATCCAAATATCTATCTATGGTAGCATAATCATACAGCTATTCAATACTGTTATTTGTAAAACAAAAGAGAACATTCATAAATGCTCACCAGTCTTGTGGCAGCTTTCTTTCCATGTTGATCACCATTTTCATAAACATGCTTAAGAGCTGCAGGAAGGAACTTCCAGAATTCATTCACAAATTCACTGCCCTTTCGCCTACTGTTTTGCAATATGTCATTAGCCAAATATAGACAAGCCACGCGCTGATCTTTCTGGGCAGAATTAAAGCATTTATCCCACGTTTCAACAATCTGCCTTGCTTTCTTTCGGTGAGAAATACACCAACGAGATAAAGCTATTTAAATGATTAAGGAAGCACATAATATAAACATCAAAGTTGGAGCTAAGTGATCAGGTAGTACATTACATCTATGTACAAATCTCATAAAATAAGAACTAAGGTATCATTAATACATCCAGAAATCAATATATGTACCTATATTATCAAATATGTTTACCAGAAAATTTACCGAAGAAATATCATTTCTAAAGGATACAGTATAAAAGACCGTATAGGGTTGCAGATCTGGACGAAATTGTTGTACAGTTGCAAATTATAGGGCCCCGTTTATTTCACCATCTTAGGTGGGAGTGCACTAGCTAGGGTTACTAATCCCATGCTTTGTATGACCAAGGACTAACTTAAATGAGACTAAACTAGACTCGCCTAGACTCCACGCCTCACTAAATCACAATAAGCAATCCCGAGTAAAAGCTCAGTATTAAGCCGTCCTAGAAAGAAAAGGGCACGCGAGCCCAAATCAAACCCAGTCCAGACCCTTCCCCATCTCCCAGCTTCGAGGCAATCACACATGCACCCTTCGCCCAACCATCCTGCACTGTTAACCCAACCCCCCCCCCGGGCCCCTGCCCATTTTTGCTTCAATTTAATCTCTCTCTCCATCTTATATATACATGTTGTACCGCAACTTCTGCACTAAGCCCAATTCCTAAATTTTCAATCTCTTTCTTGCTTTGTGGTTTTATTTTGAAGATTTGCAGTCAATTATGAAGTTCTGAGAGGGAGTGAAGAGGGAGAGAGAGGGAGAGAGAGAGAGAGAGAGATTGACCCAAAAAAAAAGGGTTCTCTTCTAAATAGTAATGGCAGAAAAATAGTTGGGTGAAAAAGTAATAAAATAATAGCTTTTTTGTTTTTTTTAAGTATAAAAGAGAATTAGAATATGGCAAAATAAAAATTTGGGTCTAATACTTTAGTATGTAGCTTAGTTCGGCACTGCACCAAACTTTGCTATTCTTATACTGCTTTGTCCAAGCCAAGCCAATCCAACTTAGTCCTTGAAGCTAATCTAGTCCGAGCTAGTCAAGCGTAACAACAGGGGCCTAGAACTCTTAATATTGATGTCATCTAAAATAACGTAACATGATGTACAAGACGCAAGAGATAAGCCATGCTAAGACGTTCCCATGACAAATTTAAATCACTGTTCACTATTTATCCAATAAAACAGCACAACTGCTAAGGCATTTAGCAGCAATCTCTATGGAGAACTTAAGTGCTACAGCCACTTGCCTCCAAGAGCTCATGTTAAGTTTATGCCCCAGGTCTGTGAGCCTTAATTACCAGCAGGCGGGAAAAGGAAAAGAAAGAAGGAAGTTGTTTAGGAGCGTTCAGTTTTTTGGTTCAAAGAAGTCATGATGGGAAAACATTTTTTAAAAATATAACTTCACGATGGATATAACTTCAAGATAGCAGATACTGCCATCATCAATGCATCACTTAAGTTTTATAAACAAAATATTACAGTGTTAGAACGAGAAACAATATATCGTTAAGGGGAGGAAAGAGTGGGAGGCATATATATGCACAAGAATGATCCTCCATATAATTTGAATAGTTACATTTTCTTTTATAAGAAAGAAATGTTACTACTACTCAACAAAATGCAAACAAAGTGGACAAGATATCCACCCTAGAACATAAATCGTAGTACAGTCAATAAACTTAATAAAAATCACATTCTATGACATCAAAATAGTATCTATTGAGAAGTGAATGGCAAAAGTTATTTACATAATCTATACTATTATTAAGGGAAGTATAGATATATAAAGGACCAACATTTGCAACAAAAAAAATATATATCTAGGCACTTACAATATAAAAAGAACCTCCAACAAATATTTTACCCTTAATAAAAGAAAATAAAATATATAATTTGGATAACTAGTAACTAAAATTCATTTCAATAAAATAAAAATATAAAAATCTCTACACAATCTTTCAGCACTCTCTCTTCCTCTACAATAACTATCATCACTCTCTCTTTCTCCTCCTACAGTAACAGTCATTCTAACATGCAATATATGTGTGATAGTTGCTTGTAAACTATAGCACAAAGAGAAAACATAGATACAGTTGAAACTTCACCCACTAATACAATTTTAACGCAGCCAAAAACAAGAGCATACAGAAAAGGTAAAAACTTTAACATTACAAGTTTCTTCACAAATCTAAAATTAGGAGTTTCTTCACAAATCTAAAATTAGGAGTTTCTTCACAAATCTAAAATTAGGGAAAAGGATAAAGTTGTATTGAATTAGATTCAGCAAGATCCTAGTAATATAAAACATGTATTAGTATTTTATTCTTACCAAAAATTCTTATAAAAGAGTATGTTAACGAGTAGATGCGTAATACAGCTACACTGAAACAAATGCTATTCCCTCCTTGTAAACATCATTACCAAAACATAAATTAGCTAAACCATGAAGTACTATACACAGGGGATTTCTTAAGAGGATACATTCAATGCATTGTTGTGAACCGTTGAGTTTTGAAAGCTTGTCAGCCAATATCTGTCCGTCAAAAGGTTCAACGTTACTCATTATGCTGTTGCTCAGTTTTTTACATCCCCTGCTGCCATAAAAACTGTATTGTTATACTAAAAATTTAAAAGTAATACGAAAAATGTATTTAGAACTTGTAAAGTTTTTAACTTTTGTTTCACCCATTCAAGTACAAGATTGCATCAACAGAATAAACAATTCTTTACACTAATCCTGGTACTCAATACCGTCCCGTCTTGCTACATATTTACATGCAATCCCAGTGAAATAAACACATAAATTATAAAAATGACCCCAGTTCCTGAACTAAAATTTGAAATTAAGTAAATAAAGTAAAAAATGTAAGTACAATTTGTAAAGTTTATAACTTCTTAGACCCATTCAAGTGCAGGATTCAATCAACAGAATAAACAATTATTTACACTAATCCTGCTACATATTTCAGTGCAATCACAGCTAAAAAAATTATAAAAAAAATTAACCCGTTTCCTAAATTAAAATTTGAAATTAGCTAAATAGGCACTTCATGGCCTTCATTACTCTCAAAACCCACCAATCTCATACGACTGTGCTTCCATTTCATCAATCAATTCGACTCTTACTCTTTATCTATAATTGTATTGGAACACATACTTCTCGACTTTACTCACTAATTCCCGATGAAAAAAGAAGCTTTATTTTCCACACAAAAACGAATATTGACAAAACCAAATTCTAGGGTTTAGACAGACTTGCGTGGTCACGCACAGTTTTCGAACCGAAACGCCGTTGAGGAATCGAATCAGGGAGAAGGACGGAAATGAAGAAGAAGGAGGAACGACATGGTTCGGAGACTCACCGGAGCAGCAGCGGATGGACGTCGCTCTCTTTCTCTCTCTTCTTCCGGCAACTTTTGCTGAGGCCCAAGTGCTCTCGGTCCCTCTCCTTCCTCCTTCCTCTGGAGTCTGAAACGACGCCGGGTTATTCGATATTTGCTATACTCCTTTTTGTTTTGCAAATTTTATTTTCTGCTTTATTTTGTTTTGTTTCAATTTTTTTTTGTTAACAAACGATACTATTTATAGAGGTGGAGTGGACTTAGTCTCACTCAGACTAACAATAATGTAATTCAAATTCTTATTTGGCAAGAATCAAACATAAGATTTTTCAGTTACAACTGAAGAGGAATATCATTATACCGTAATACTAATCGATTTAATTTTGTTTTCTTAGTTTATAATTGTTTTGTTCTCATACTTTTACAACATTTTGTTTAAAGTACCGTGAAGTTATTAATCAGGGACCTAGGTCCTTTATGGAACTAAAGATATTGAGCTTAAAGATCAAATTATATGGGCGGTTAAAATTTGATTCAACGACCACAAATAAAGATCATTCTAAAGTTGTAATAATTGTAACTATTTGATCAAATTTCAACAGTTTGGATCATTTGATCCTTAGACTCAGAATCATTAGATCCGAAGAGGAACTGGGTTCATTAATCAGGCATCATGTCTTTTAGTTGAGACGCAAATTTAATTTTTGACACATTTGAGTTTTGAATAAATTTTCTATCATTATGTAGTATTTAGTGATATTTAATAAAACATCTCATCCAATTAAACAAAAATACTATTGTCCTCAAAACAGGAGAGAGCAAAATTATGGGATAGCCCCAAAGCTCTACCCATTTTTTGTTTTTAACCACCACCTTTTAATATTTTACGAATAAGTACATAAAAATTGAATTGACACCAAAAATTGAAACCCAAAGTGTGTTTCTATCAAATTGCAAATGCGTTTTTGACTTTTGAGTATGTTTTGTAGAAATACTTAGGTTTTGTTTGACATTTGTTTTATTTTTATTTTCTTTTTCACTTTTAATGAAAAATAAAAACTAGTTTGATAATCGAATGTATAGCTAACATGTCTAACATCCCAATATGTTTGATATCTTTAGTTTGATCTCTTTAAAATTATAGCTAGCACTTCTAGCATCCCGACATGTTTGGGATACCCAAAGAAGTAGATTTTTTTTTCTCCATTGTGACTAGGAATTGCAGTACACTTACTGGATATTTTGTAATACAAATTTATAAAGATATATGTATGTATGTATGTATGTATGTATATACAAATATATATATACACACACACGATGTTAAGTGAGAGTTACGGATTAGCATATAAGATTTTATTTTATTTTCAGATTCAATTGTAAACTATTAAATAAATTTTGTTGATGCGTGTAATTCTCAGAGTACTTGGATCTAACGAAGGACATGACACAGGATCGAGCACAATGGCGTTCTAAGATTCATATAGCCGATCCCACCCAGTGACTTGGATTTTCCAAGTCTCCAACCGAGAAGTTTTCCTCACTCGGAAAATTAAGGGAACACTACCCCAACCTACATGCTCCACTCAGAAAGCTTCAACATACAAGCTTCAACAAAAGAAAATTCAAAGAACTTAGCGAATAAGGCTTTGGTGTATTTAACACAATACGTTGAAATGAAGGAAAGCTTATTTATTGATATCCCCGATAAGCTACAAATATGTACATATACATGAGTCAAAATAAACACACAAGAGGGAGCCTTCACAAAGGTTGCTTAGGAGAAGTCTCAGCAGTCGGTAGAGCCCCAGAAAGAGAAGGCACCGGAGGGGGATCATTTGGAGCCTCAGTACTGGACAGAACCCTAGAAGGAGGAGGCATCAGAGGTTGATCATTTGGAGCTTCATTACGCGGTACAGCCCCAGAAGACGAAGGCAATAAATGCCTTTGGAACAAACCCACAAATCTCTGATGATCAAGTAAAACCTGACCATCAGTTTCCTTCATCTGGTCAAGCTTCCTCTTCATGTTTGTAGCATAGTCATGTGCGAGCCGGTGCAACTGTTTATTCTCATGCTTGAGCCCTCTAATCTCCTGTTTGAGACTCATCACTTCAGCCGCCAATGATTCAACTTGGCGGGTTCGAGCAAATAGGCGTTGGGCCATATTAGACACAGAACCTGCACACTGAACACTGAGAGCCAGCGAATCCTTAACAGCTAACTCATCAGACCGTTTGGAAAGTAGTCTGTTATCTTTGGGAGTGAGAAGGTTCCTGGCCACCACCGCAGCGGTCATATCATTCTTCATCACGGAATCCCCAACGGTAAGAGGACCAGTAGGGGAGACGAAGGATGGGCGCCATATGTTGTCTGGAGAAGGCGGGGCTGCCTCTTCAACAAGGTTCAAGTCAAAACGACGGTCGGAGGGGCCAGACATTTTCAAAGGTGTTGAAGAGAGAAGAGGTCGGACAAATCAAGATCTTAGAAGTGCAAGAATGAAGCTTCTACTGGTGGAGATTCAAGTGTGCTTTGGAACTTAATGCCAGCCCCTATAAAAATCTGCACTCGACGGAGCTTCAGAAATCGAAGAGGCGCCTGCTCAGAAATCGAAGAGGCGTTTGCTTTTCTCAAAAGCTGGGCTGCTTAGAGATCACGAGGGTTGATCTCAGAAATCGAAGAGGCGTTTGCTTTCTCAAAAGTTGGGCTGCTCAAAGACCACGAAGGCCGATCTCAGAAATCGAAGAGGCGCTCGCTTTCTCAAAAGCTGGGCTCCCCAGAGACCACGAGGGCCGATCTCAGAAATCGAAGAGGCACCTACTTTTCCAGCCTTGTCAGCACCTGTCACACGCACACTCAGCTTTGCGGAAATTATGGGCATTCTGTCGAAGACTTCTGGGGAAGTAGAAAACACATGAATCTTACTGTTCAATCACCCACTTCCCACACGCAACAATAGCTCATGGGTACCACAGATAAACTTTGCCAAAGTTCTCTGCCAAAGTTGAGCACGTGAAGCTTGCAGCTCCCACTACATCGCTCTGACCAAGAAGGGTAAAAGAATAGCAAAGAAACAGCACTAACAAAGTTTAGACCCATAAATTTTGAAGGTCTAGCTACCATATTATTACCCACAAGGGTAAAGGAACAGTACCACTGCTGGATAATTGGAAAGTCCCTGTGTGTCAATCCTCTGTGCTTCGTGGCAAGGTAGACTAGCAAACATGCCCAACCTTTACTCACATTCGAGAAAACACTCCCAATAAGATTGCTTGCTCCAAAATCGAAGAGGCACCGTCCTCCGAATCTCGAGAGCCAGACTCCCAACATGACTACTTTCTTAAAAATCGAAGAGAGGAAGGCTTCGTGGCAAGGTAGACTAGCAAACATGCCCAACCTTTACTCACATTCGAGAAAACACTCCCAACAAGATTGCTTGCTCCAAAATCGAAGAGGCACCGCCCTCCGAATCTCGAGAGCCAGACTCCCAACATGATTACTTTCTCAAAAATCGAAGAGACACTGCTCCCCGAATCTTCGAGAGCCAGACCCCCAGCATGATTGCTTTCTCAAAAATCGATGACGGCATCGTTCTCCGAATCAATCGAAGAGGCGCTCGCTTTCTCAAAAGCTGGGCTGCTCAGAGACCACGAGGGCCAATCTCAGAAATCGAAGAGGCACCTACTTTTCTAGCCTTGTCAGCACCTGTCACACGCACACTCAGCTTTGCAGAAATTATGGGCATTCTGTCGAAGACTTCTGGTGAAGTAGAAAGCACATGAATCTTACTGTTCAATCACCCACTTCCCACACGCAACAATAGCTCATGGGTACCACATATAACTTTGCCAAAGTTCTCTGCCAAAGTTGAGCACGTGAAGCTTGCAGCTCCCACTACATCGCTCTGACCAAGAAAGGTAAAAGAATAGCAAAGAAACAGCACTAACAAAGTTTAGACACATAAATTTTGAAGGTCTAGCTACCATATTATTACCCACAAGGGTAAAGGAACAGTACCACTGCTGGATAATTGGAAAGTCCCTGTGTGTCAACCTCTGTGCTTCGTGGCAAGGTAGACTAGCAAACATGCCCAACCTTTACTCACATTCGAGAAAACACTCCCAACAAGATTGCTTGCTCCAAAATCGAAGAGGCACCGTCCTCCGAATCTCGAGAGCCAGACTCCCAACATGACTACTTTCTCAAAATCGAAGAGAGGGTAAAGGAACAGTACCATTGCTGGATAATTGGAAAGTCCCTGTGTGTCAACCTTTGTGCTTCGTGGCAAGGTAGACTAGCAAACATGCCCAACCTTTACTCACATTCGAGACAACACTCCCAACAAGATTGCTTGCTCCAAAATCGAAGAGGCACCGCCCTTCGAATCTCGAGAGCCAGACTCTCAACATGATTACTTCCTCAAAATCGAAGAGACACTGCTCTCCGAATCTCGAGAGTCAGACCCCCAACATGATTGCTTTCTCAAAAATCGATGAGGCATCGTTCTCCGAATCTCGAGAGCCAGATACCACAGACCACTTTTTCAAAGTGCTCTGACAGAGTTAAAACATGTGAAACTGGCAGCTCCCACTACCGTGCTATGACCAAACAGGGTAAAGGAATAGCATTACTACTTGTTGTTAGGGAGACTCCTATATATGTCGACCTTCATCCCCAACGGACAGGCAGACCTGCAAAAATGCTCAACCCTTCATCATATCTGAGAGGGCACTCCCAACGAAGCCTTTCGAAATATTCAGCTTTCTTTCCCCCCGATAATACCTCTGCAAACAAGCTATACTAGAGCAAGAATATCTCATATCATCAGGGTTAAAAGCAAGAGTATCCCATATCATGCTTTTTCCCTGTCTTTTCCTTTGGCCTTGTTTTTACCTGCAAGACAAGGAGAAAGAGAGCAATCAGTCAGCACTTGGAATCAAGCTTCCAGCCAGGAACTGACTGCCTGGAACCCCTTACCTGATTACTTACCTGGCATTGCTCTCGAGTACTCATCTTCAACATCTTATGTTTCCAGGGAAGATTCCGCATCTGCTTGAGGAACAGATAGGGCAAGTGCGAAGGATACAAGGAAGCATGTGGAGACAAGCGTAACAGCACACGTGCCGATACATCCATTACTCTGTCAAAAGCAAAAGTATCCCATATCAGCAGGGCGGAA